CCCTGCTTCACAGGATACCAACACTCGGTATTCCTGACAGCTTTAGGAGGCTGTTCATTTCACTGGGTATAAGTAAGGGTTTACAATCACCTTAAAGTGGAATATCATTAAAATAGATGAGGTCTGGGGACAACTTGCCACCAATAACTGTTGAAAAAATTAACACACATAGCAAACATGTATATAATGCACAGCACAGTTTGAGTGCATTAACCAAGATTATGTTACATACAGTACAACGTAACCTACAGAATGCAGTGTTCAGGAGTAGTGATTATCACTTGGATGGCTTGGGTGTACCACCAGCAAAAGCAAAAGTACAGTCAGGTCCAAAAATATTGGGACATCGACAACTAAATTTTTGGCTCTATACACCACCACAATGGATTTGAAATGAAACAAACAAGATGTGCTTTAACTGCGGTGAACGGTGTAGGAATTACAACAGTTTGCATATGTGCCTCCCACTTGTTAAGGGATCAAAAGTAATGGGAGAGAATAATAATCATAAATCAAACTTTCTCTTTTTAATACTTGGTTGAAAATCCTTTGCAGTCAATTACAGCCTGAAGTCTGGAATGCATAGACATCACCAGACGCTGGGTTTCATCCCTGGTGATGCTCTGCCAGGCCTCTACTGCAACTGTCTTCAGTTCCTGCTTGTTCTTGGGGCATTTTCCCTTCAGTTTTGTCTTCAGCAAGTGAAATGCATGCTCAATCGGATTCAGGTCAGGTGATTGACTTGGCCATTGCATAACATTCCACTTCTTTCCCTTAAAAAACTCTTTGGTTGCTTTTGCAGTATGCTTTGGGTCATTGTCCATCTGCACTGTGAAGTGGCGTCCAATGATTTTCTGAAGCATTTGGCTGAATATGAGCAGATAATATTGCCCGAAACACTTCAGAATTCATCCTGCTGCTTTTGTCAGCAGTCACATCATCAATAAATACAAGAGAACCTGTTCCATTGGCAGCCATACATGCCCACGCCAAGACACTACCACCACCATGCTTCACTGATGAGGTGGTATGCTTAGGATCATGAGCAGTTCCTTTCCTTCTCCATACTCTTCTCTTCCCATCACTCTGGTACAAGTTGATCTTGGTCTCGTCTTTCCATAGGATGTTGTTCCAGAACTGTGAAGGCTTTTTTAGATGTCGTTTGGCAAACCCTAATCTGACCTTCCTGGTTTTGAGGCTCACCAATGGTTTACATCTTGTGGTGAACCCTCTGTTTTCACTCTGGTGAAGTCTTCTCTTGATTGTTGACTTTGACACACATACACCTACCTCCTGGAGAGTGTTCTTGATCTGGCTAACTGTTGTGAAGGGTGTTTTCTTCACCAGGTAAAGAATTCTTCAGTCATCCAGGTCTTTTGGTGTTGCTGAGCTCACCGGTGCGTTCCTTCTTTTTAAGAATGTTCCAAACAGTTGTTTTGGCCACGCCTAATGTTTTTGCTATCTCTCTGATAGGTTTGTTTTGTTTTTACAGCCTAATGATGGCTTGCTTCACTGATAGTGACAGCTCTTTGGATCTCATCTTGAGAGTTGACAGCAACAGATTCCAAATGCAAATAGCACACTTGAAATGAACTCTGGACCTTTTATCTGCTCATTGTAATTGGGATAATGAGGGAATAACACACACCTGGCCATGGAACAGCTGAGAAGCCAATTGTCCCATTACTTTTGGTCCCTTAACAAGTGGGAGGCACATACGCAAACTGTTGTAATTCCTACACCGTTCACCTGATTTGGATGTAAATACCCTCAAATTAAAGCTGACAGTCTGCAGTTAAAGCACATCTTGTTTGTTTCATTTCAAATCCATTGTGGTGGTGTATAGAGCCAAAAATGTTAGAATTGTGTAGATGTCCCAATATTTATAGACTTGACTGTACCAGCTTAACAAATTAGGACAGCCAATGTATATTAGGGCTGAAACAACTAATCAACATAATCGATTATGAAAATAGTTTTCAACTTCTTAGGCACAAAAAAAAAAAACCCAACAAAAAGCTCTGAAAGAACAGATCATAGGCTATATACTCTTATCTTCTGAACAATCAAAACACAGTCTTTGTAAGGAGCACTTGGTCCCCTTAAATGAACCTTTTCAGACCCCAAATGAAAATCTCCTCAACCACCTGCCTGTATTGAGAGTATCCCAGGGCAAGGGATTCTGAGATACACAAGGAATGTAGTCCCAGGGAGAACTAGTTGAGTATTGCACCTTACCACCCTCTTTCTTCTTTGGTCTGGGGGGTGTAAAAGTACTCACACTGTCATGTTCCTGAAGATTTAAAGGTTGAAGATGCATTTAGGTCTTATACTGGGCTGGCTACTTTCCTGCAGACAGGCTGTCTTTCCCCGATAGACTGTGGGACAGTGGAGTTCCTTGTGTCCAGCTTCAGCCTGTAGGCACACCCCCCTCCTCTGAGGCCCCCTCCCAGGCTCCACAGCAGCAGCACTTCCTCACTCCATCTTCCACCCGACTCCCCTGCTGACCAGGCTCTCTCATATTTAAGGGCTGACCTAGACACCATGCCAGGCCTCCTGCCTGAGGATCGGCTAGATTAAGAAGATGTAAGAAAATGGAAAAGCACACTGGAAAGATACACAGAAATGTGACAGAAAGGCTTCAACTCTACCTCCTCCCAAGCCAAGTCCCACTAACGCATTTTTCTCACTCGTGGACTTAGTTGTAGAGGCTCATAGACCTCTATAACTAAGCCCATGAGCTGGTGAAAAGTGTTAGAGCGGAGTGACTTGGGAGGAGGTAAAGCTGAAGCCTTTCTATCACATTGGAAACTAGGCGCCTTTCCGTGGGCTCTTCTAGCTCTTTTCTCTCATAATAAGGTTTGCAAACATATACAACTACAGAAAACCTGGCTACAGATCATTAAAAATGAAGACAAAACCTTTCTTTTAAGAAAAGGTGGGTATGTGGTGTTGGTAAAAAATAATGGGAAATAATAAGAAAAATAATGTTTTGGTCTGGATTAGAGATGAGCGAATCGAACCAGGCGAACCGGAATTCGATACGAATTTCAGGAAAAATTCGATTCGCGTTGAATCCGAAAATTTGCCTACTTCGGGTGCGCGAATCGAATTTTTCCCGATCAGCCGGCAAAAGTGTCCCTGCAGAGAGCTCCGCTATTTCTGACATTTCTCTGACAGTTCCTTCACATGTACAGCGGTTGAAACATTGTATCTATTAGTTTCCATTTAGGATACAGATGTTTCAACCGCTGTACATGTGAAGGAGCTGTCAGAGAACTGTCAGAAATAGAGGAACTCTGCACATACACTTTTTGCCGGTTTGGAATTCTTATTTTCATCCTACTTCTTCCTCTTCATCCTCATCCTCATCCACTTCTTCTTCTTCTGAGGATGAGGATGAAGAAGAAGAAGAAGAAGAAAAAGAAGAATAATTCCAAGCCGGCAAAAAGTGTATCTAGGCTCCTCTATTCTGAAAACCACTTAAGAAGCTCTGCAGATACACTTTTTGCCCGGTTTGGAATTATTCAAGCCGGCTACTTCTTCTTCTTCTTCTTCATCCTCATCCTCAGAAGAAGAAGAAGAGTGATGAGGATGCAGAAGAAGAAGAAGTAGGATGGAAAATAAGAATTAATTCCTCAAAAATTCTGAGCTCCTCTACACTTAGAGGAGCTCTGCAGATACACTTTTTGCCGGCTTGGAATTGTTCTTATTTTCATCCTACTTCTTCTTCTTCTTCTTCTTCTTCATCCTCATCCTCATCCTCAGAAGAAGAAGAGAGGATGATGAGGATGAGAAGATAGAATGAAAAGAAGAAGAAGAAAGTATCTGCAGAAGGTATCTGCAGATGTCAAAAATATAGAATAATTCCAAGCCGGCAAAAAGTGTATCTGCAGAGCTCCTTATTCTGCAGATACACTTAGAGGAGCTCTGCAGATACACTTTTTGCCGGCTTGGAATTAATCTTATTTTCATCCAGAAGAAAGAGAGAAGTAGGATGTAAATAAGAATAATTCCAAGCCGGCAAAAAGTGTATCTGCAGAATGGATCCATTTATGGAAACAAATAGATACAATGTTTCAACCGCTGTACGGAGTAAATGTCCCAGAACTGTCAGAAATAGTCTATTTCTGACAGTTCTGGGACATTCACTCCATACAGCGGTTGAAACATTGTATCTATTTGTTTCCATAAATGGATCCATTTATGGAAAAAAATAGATACAATGTTTCAACCGCTGTATGGAGCGAATGTCCCCTGAACTGTCAGAAATAGCCTATTTCTGACAGTTCTATGACATTCCCTCCATACAGCGGTTGAAACCCTTTTTATAAGTTATCTTCGTAGCGAATAAATTCGCATCGAATCGAATTTCTTCCTGAAATTCGCCGAATCAGCCGAATCGAATTTTTGAATACTTCGCTCATCTCTAGTCTGGATGTTTTAGTTTATGCTAAGGATGTTTTAGGTACCAATAATTTGGTGACATGTAAAAAAAAGCACCAAAAATTGTATCAATTGACATTGATGCTAAAACAACTTTATCACTGCAATAATGTTCATATCTGTAACAACCGATGATGTTAAAATGATTGTGCTGGAATTTATGTGGCATAACATCTGGTGCCAAGACAACTAAGCTTTCTAAAGTTGAATATATATTCTACCAACACATTTCTTTCATTTTGGAAAGATGTTTTCATAAAAAGAATGAAGAAAAGCAGAAGTAGAAGAAAGTAAGATTAGCACTTGGATCTTTTTGAGTGTACATTGGAAGCAACAGCAATAGAACAAAGTATGGTTGAAATGATCAGCTGTTTTCCCCTCTGTTGGTGGTTGGTGAGGGGTGCCATTGGTAGACATGAGAATCCTCAACTAAACTGCCTGAAACTGCACAGACTGAACATTGATTGTTTCATACAGTATCTACATATGTACTTTTACTACTGCATTGAATTCCAATCCACTTGGTGGAATAATATCTTAATTGTATTGTTCAGTTAAGGTCCAGCTTGAGATCGATCAAGTGATAGGTTCACACACTCCATCAGCAGAAGACCGAACCAAGATGCCTTACACTGAAGCTGTAATCCATGAGATACAGAGATTTTCTGATATTATCCCAACTGGACTTCCACACCGTACAACAGAAGACACATTCTTGAGAGGCTACTTCATCCCCAAGGTAAAAACCATGAGATCATGTAAATAAAAGCAAAGCACCAGTGGCGTCACTAGGGTTGGTGTCACCTGGTGTGGTAAAACATGGTGTCACTCCCCCCCTCATAATTAATTTTCATATAACACTGCAATTAAAGGCAATGGTTGTGGTGTTAACAACTCTCAAGGAGTATGGTGGTGATCAGGATGCTGGTATGGCATATGGGGTCATCAGGACACTGGAATGGGGCATGGTGGTGATCAGAGCACTGGTATGGCATATGGCAGTGATCAGGACATTGGTATGGGGTATGGCAGTAATCAGGATGCTAGAATGGGGTATGGCAGTGATCAGGATGCTGGTATGAGATATGGCGGTGATCAGGACACTGGTATGGGGTATGGCTGAGATCAGCATGCTGGTATGGTGTATGGCGGAGATCAGGATACTGGTATAGGGTATGGCGGTGATCAGGAGAGCTGCAGCAGCTATGAGGGAATCAGGGAGACATCGGAGATGGGAAAACAGTCAGCTGACAATACTAAGTATGGTGTTCTTGGAGCAGACAATGCAATGTATAGGTGATCTGGATGGGATCAGAACTGACTTGAAGATGGTTTGTCTGTGGAAATCTGGATCTTGATAGGATCATGATGGCCCAGGAAGATGCTATGGGTGCGAACCCATGATGCTGTGGATCTAAGCAAACAGCCTGGCAACACGCCTGGATGGATGGCTGCCTGGCATCAGTGATGTCATTGGCCTCCCGTATCCTCAATAGACAACTGTTAGCAATCATGGGGCTCTCTACAGACTACCTGATTAGGCCCCCTCAACCCCACCCCTGACCCCGCCCACTTCCTAATATGCATTTTTAGGGACCCTGCCACACCCATATTACATATTGGGACACCATGGCTGTGTCCCAATAGAAATGGATGGGACACTGGCATGGGGATGCATGCAACACTTTCTGCATCTCTGTGCTGGTTAAAGACAGCCCTGCACAGGAGATGCATATATGTAACGCCATGTGTGAATGGGCCCTAAATGAGGCCAAAGGATGCATTTCACTGTTCTTATATGATCATCATTATTATCATCATGATAATCACACAATACTATGGTGCTATGGTTCAATGCACCGCCAGTGTGTGATTATTAAGATGATAATGATGATCAATCTTAGCTGTATCAATCATGGGCAACAGGGACATAACATAGGTGTGAAGGGGGTGTGTTTCTACTCGCTTTACCTTTTATGAAGACAAGATGACTGCAGACTTGCCTGAAGTGTGGGATGGGTGGGAACCTTGGTGAACCACAGTAGCCGGGATTCCTAAACTGGAGCCACCGCAAACTCCTCTTTGTAGCACCACTAAGAACTCTCAGGAGCACCCTCTGGTGGTCAGAGGGTGGCAGTGCAGGCTGTGCTGGCTCACTCTGCCTGCCACCAACCCTTACTACACGACTCGGCTCCTAGAAAGCCACGGTCCACGGCCTGGAGGTTGTGGACCCCTGATTTAGACCACCTGGGACAATGGTGATATCTTCTTATCGGCGACTCTGCCTCCACATCACACAAGCTCAGTCAGCCTCAGCTGAACCCGGGTGGGGAGGATTCAGTGCAGACTTGGGGGAGAAGTTCTGGCACACAGGGGTATATAAACTCCAATTCAGAAGAGGGGAGAGGGCAGGGAAACAAATAGTTAATGGAGTATAAATATCACAAATATGCAAGTCTATGAAGGATAATGTTCGGGTGCATATCGCAACAGCACATGATAAATACATATATAATATATAAGTGGAATGAATAAAGTCTGATAACAAAATCTCTGGGGCCGGCGTGATGGTAGCAGCAGCCGTGCTTAGGAGCAGGGCCAGCTCCGTGTGAAAAGATCTCTCCTGATCTTTTCAGTGCAGGCTCAGCCATGGTGCCCGGAGAGTTGAGCTGTCACTTCTAAATACAGAAGCTTCTGTATTTACTGTAGAAGTAACAGCAGTACGAGGAAAACACAGGGCTAGCGTCAGAGAACCTGTGAGCGGACCTCAGGATGGTGTCACCCCTCCAGCGGGTGACACCCCCATAGCGACACCACTGCAAAGCACCTATTTCAACCATAAGTATGTTCAGTACAGTAAAAAGTTACTTGAGACAACATTTGTTTTTTTCTTAATGTACCATTTGGAAAAAGAGAAATATTCTCTTAATTAAAGTAGTGGGAAAAGAAGTTTCCCTCAGATGGTATCCTACTTCACTGGATTTCAGACAACAGTTACTCACTGGGGTTTATTTAACAAAGGTGCAGAAAGTGTTCATTTTGAATACAGGCAGCTGGAGCATCAACAAAACACTTTCCAAGCTACCTTGTAGCACTCCTAGTTGGGGTTTATCTTCTTTCTGCCACCACTCCTGTCTGCCCTCTAGGTAGTAGAGAGACAGGACTGATCTTCCACCTATATAGTATAAATATACAGTGGGGATCGAAAGTTTGGGCACCCCAGCTAAAAATTTGTATTAATGTGCATAAAAAAGCCAAGGAAAGATGGAAAAATCTCCAAAAGGCATCAAATTACAGATTAGACATTCTTATAATATGTCAACAAAAGTTAGATTTTATTTCCGTCATTTACACTTTCAAAATAACAGAAAACAAAAAAAATGGCGTCTGCAAAAGTTTGGGCACCCTGCAGAATTTATAGCAGCACTGCCCCCTTTGCCAAGCTGAGACCTGCCAGTGTCATGGATTGTTCTCAATCATCGTCTGGGAAGACCAGGTGATGTCAATCTCAAAGGTTTTAAATGCCCAGACTCATCTGACCATGCCCCAACAATCAGCACCATGGGTTCTTCTAAGCAGTTGTCTAGAAAACTGACTGAAACTGAAAATAGTTGACGCTCACAAAGCTGCAGAAGGCTATAAGAAGATATAGCAAGGCGTTTTTCAGATGTCAATATCCTCTGTTCGGAATGTAATTAAGAAATGGCAGTCATCAGGAACAGTGGAAGTTAAAGCAAGATCTGAAAGACCAAGAAAAATATCAGACAGAACAGCTCGCAGGATTGTGAGAAAAAACAATTCAAAACCCACGTTTGACTGCACGATCCCTCCAGAAAGATCTGGCAGACACTGGAGTTGTGGTACACTATTCCACTATAAAGAGATACTATGTACAAATATGGTCTTCATGGAAGAGTCATCAGAAGAAAACCTCTTCTACGTCCTCACCACAAAAATCATCGTTTGAACTTTGCAAATGAACATATAGACAAGTCTGATGCATTTTGGAAACAAGTTCTGTGGACCAATGAGGTTAAAATTGAACTTTTTGGCCGGAATGAGCAAAGGTACGTTTGGAGAAGAAGGGGCACAGAATTTAATGAAAAGAACCTCTGTCCAACTGTTAAGCATGAAGTTGGATCAATCATGCTTTGGGGTTGTGTTGCAGCCAGTGGCGCAGGGAACATCTCACGAGTAGAAGGAAAAAAGGATTCAATAAAATTTCAGCAAATTTTGGATGGTAACTTGATGCCATCTGTGAAAAAGCTGAAGTTAAAGAGAGGGATGCTTCTACAAATGGATAATGATCCTAAACACACCTCAAAATCCACGGGGGATTACATCAAGAGGTGTAAACTGAAGGTTTTGCCATGACCTTCACAATCTCCTGACCCTGACCTCAACATAATTGAAAATCTATGGATAACCCTTAAAAGAGCAGTGCGTGACAGACAGCCCAGAAATCTCAAAGAACTGGAAGACTTTTGTAAGGAAGAATGGGCAAAGATACCTCAAAACAAGAATTGAAAGACTCTTGCTGGCTACAAAAAGCGTTTTACAAGCTGTGATACTTGCCAAAGGAGGCAGTACAATATATTAACTCTGCAGGGTGCCCAAACTTTTGCAGACACCATTTTTTTGTTTTCTGTTAGTTTTTGAAAGTGTAAATGATGGAAATAAAGTCTAAACTTTTGTTGACATATAATAAGAATGTCTAATCTGTAATTTGATGCCTTTTGGAGATTTTTCCATCTTTCCTTGGCTTCTTTATGCACATTAAAAAATTTTTAGCTGGGGTGCCCAAACTTTCGATCCCCACTGTATAATATACACATGATGCAACCCGTACATATCACCTTCCTAGATACTGTAGGTGCTAGGTTTGGTTAGTTGTAGTTCTGTTTTGGTATTTAAACGCATATTTAGCTCACTGTATCAGTGATGCCGGGTTCTACTGGAGAGGTTTGGTCAGTGTGTTCTGCTGCTGGCAGGCTGGTATAGCTCCCTCTGCATTCAGAAGTCTTGAAGTTTCTGAATAGTAGGTGTGGAGCTATACAGGTGCGAACATGAATATTGATACAGCCCCAGCCAATTCCAGGGATCTGGGCCCTGAGGCATGTTGGGTAACTATATATTCAGCTCTGGCTCTGGGTCTTTCCTGCCCAGGATTGTTCCAGCTTAGGAAAGGACATGTTGCCCTTCCAGGCATCTGCCGCCATAGGCCTCAGGTGGGCAACCTGAGGCCTGAATGCTTAGATCCAGTTCTACTAAAGCTGACTGAGGGGATGCCTACTGGAGATCTGGTCTGCCATCTGCTCTTGGGTCTTGTGAGCAAAGACACCCTAAAGGATCTTAGAGACTACAGTATATGCTATTTAACCAGCGCCGTGCTAGACTATTTTGCAACCTAGACAAGACCAGCTACTTGCCCCCCCAAAAAAAAATAAATCAAAAATAAATGAAAACTTAAAAAATTTAAAAACAGTAGAAAATATGAAATCAACAAAACATGAAACTGCTAAATTTCTTTTAATTTGCAAAAATGAGTGCCATAAGATACCACCAGCACCAATAGTAAAGACAAAAATATATATTAACCAAATATAAATTAACTCTATTAAGCAATCAGACAGAGAAACAAAAAGACACTGCAGTAAGAGACTGAGTCTGAGAGTAACACTGCAAGGAGCCACAGCTCAGCTGCTACACTGGCCCCAGATACCCGGAATCTTCCTCTGTTCTTTCGTTCCCCTTCTGCCACCCCTCCCCTCACCTGAAGGATCATTTATGGCATAGCGGTGTCCACTCAGCATTAGCATCCGCCCCCTCCTCTTCATGTCACCTCCATGATCCGCCATCCTCTTCAGCTCGACTAAAGGGGATACTGGCTGGTGTCCCAAAGAGCTTTGTTCTTTTAACCTCTTGTTACAAGGACTCTGCTCAACCTTACTACTACTTTGCTACTATTGCCCTCAAACTGAAGTCTACTGTTTGCTTCAACCACAGACTTCATTATAGCTTATTTAAGCAATCGCCAAAAGTCTTCAAGTGTTTATAGTTCCTAATTCTGGAGTATCCCACTCATATTACCAATCCCTATCCAAGCTCTCAAAAAAAAAAAACCCAACGCCCCTAGACTGGTCATTGAAGGAAACACGCAAATTGTGGCACAGCGGGAACCTTTCTTCTGATGACAAATGTCTGACCATCTGGGTTTTCCTTACTTTATAGAGATTTCCTTTTACTTCTTGTTGTCTCTCAGGGACAGGAAGTGAAGCAAAATCTCAATGGAACACAGAATGCAAAGGTTCTGATCCATCCCTGCTCTATCCTAAACTGAACAAAAAGTTTTGCCTATATACAGGTGAAACTTGAAAAACTGGAATATCTTGTAAAAGTTCATTTATTTCAGTAATGCAGCTTAAAAGGTGAAACTAATATATGAGATAGACTCATTACATGCAAAGCAAGATAGTTCAAGCCGTAATTTGTCATAATTGTGATGATAATGGCTCCCTGTTCCCATTACACTACGTCACTGACAGCAGCTGCCAACCACAGCCTGCTGGTATGTACAATGACAGCACTGAGGTTGTGTTGAGGACACCGTGCTGTCATACTACATATTCTGAGGTTACTATGTACCTGTGTATCAAGACTTGCCTGCAGTTAGGATCACAGTTTGCTGACATTGCTTTTATCTCTAAATTACCTCAGGGCACAGATGTGTTCCCATTACTGACCACCTTACTAAAGGACCCGGAGCAATTTCAAGATCCAGATGTGTTCTCCCCCAACAGGTTTCTGGACAATAATGGAGACCTAAAAAAGTATCCTGCCTTGCTGCCTTTTTCTACAGGTACCAAGTTTACTTTATTTTGCACCATGGGAATTTATGCAAATCGTGTTGTCTAATTATAGTACAGTGGACATGTGGCTTAAGACAGTGTCCCAAGGTGCAGACCCTAGCTCGCCACCACGTAACATGCATATGGAAGAAGGACTGGCCACACACCAGAGGAATGATAAAATACGTGCATATGATTTATTGATCCATAGGACACCAAAAGCACCAGGACATGTGCATGGATGTTCACACATTTCACACGATCACGTGCTTAGTCATAACCACCTATAAAGGAAAAAAAAAGCAAAACCAGCGCTCAGGTCCTTAACCACTTCCCGACCGGCCGTTGTATATAAACGACCAGACGGTGGCACTGCAGGGTCGAGTGGCCGTTTATAAACGGCCTCCCCGCACCCTGCTTGTGCGTGCTCCATGGGAGCACGCAGCACCGCGATCCGGTGCCCGCTGTGTCCCTCTGGATCGTTGGACGGAACCTCTGTATGAGGTCCCAATCATGTGATCACTGATTGGCCAATCAGTGATCACATGATCAGGAGTAAGCAAGATGTCACTTCTGACATCATTGCTTACTACGTGTGAAATCTGTGAATGATCACAGAGGTCACATGGTACAAGGCTATTCACAACAGCCTTGTACCATGTGACAAGCTGTGACCAATCACAGCTCACTCAGTAGTTCTCAATGGCTGCAAGAATGCAGACAGAGAGAAAGAGAAATGATTGCTTTTACATCCTATATGGGTTTAAAAGCAATCAGTGTAAAAGAAAAAAATCTCCATCACCCCCCAAAAGTAGTACAGTGTCACCATAGTGACACTGTACTGCTAGGGTGACAGTATGTTAAAAAAAAATAAATAAATAAATAATAATATAAAAGAAAAATAAAAATGTAAACAAAAATGTTTAAAAATTATAATTTTTTGGTTATAAACTAATTTGGCTTATTTTTTCTTTTACTAAAAAGATAACGGAATAAATTTTGGCCAAGATTTATGATGAAATATTATTTATTTGCAAACTTTTATAAGAAAAACACTTTTTTTTTCAAAATTTTTGGACATTTTCATTTACATAGCAAAAACAATAAAAATCCCAGCGGTGAATAAATACCACCAAAATAAAGTTTTATCTGTCTCAAAAAAATGGTAAAAAATTCATATGGGTACAGTGTTGCATGACCGCGCAATTGTCATTCAAAATGTGATAACGCTGAAAGCTGAAAATTGCCCTGGCCAGGAAGGGGGTAAAAGTATCCGGACTTGAAGTGGTTAAGCATCCCAGGAACACGGTTACAGTCACTCACTGAGGTGCGGCCCTCTAAAGATCAGGGAATCTTGATACTACTGGAAGAAAGCAAAAAAGGGTGCACTCTCCTCGCGCATTACCGTGAAAAAATAGGATTTATTGAAAGTGACAAAAGTATATACTCACAAACCAAGGGTCATGTAAACAAACAAGGAACCAATGTGACAGTCCCAGGAAATAGTAATCTTGCGACAGGGTATGCTAACGCGTTTTGGGAGATAAACTCCCTTCCTCAGAGCTCAGAGGAAGGGAGTTTGTCTCCCGAAATGCGGTAGATACCCTTTTTTATGTATATATGACCCTTGGTTTGTGAGTATATGCTTTTGTCATTTTCAATAAATCCTTTTTATCACTGTAATGCACGAGGAGAGTGCTTTCTTCCAGTCATAACCACCTATGACTAAGCATGTGATTGTGTGAAATGTGTTAACATCCATGCACATGTCCTGGTGCTTTTGGTGTCCTATGGATTAATAAATCACATGCATGTATTTCATCTTTCCTCTGGTGTGCAGTCAGTCCTTCTTCCATATGCTTAACTGAGTGCAACATGTTTTAGGGCACTGTGGAGTTTCTGGAACTAAGCTGAAGATGTGTTTTAAACACTTAGAGGTTTCTTCCCTGGACTCCAGAAACTAGTTTAACTCACATTGGGGCTGACTTACTAAAGGCAAATAGACTGTGCACTTTGTAAGTGCAGCAGTTACTCCAGAGCTTAGTAATTGAGGGGAAGCTCTGCTGATTTACATCCACCAATCACGTGCAAGCAAAATGCTGTTTTTTTTATTTTCCTTGCATGTGATTAGATATTCTTTGCAAAGTGAAGCTTCATCTCATTTACTAAGCTCTGGAGCAATTCCACTTGCAAAGTGAGCAATCTATGTGTCTTTAGTAAATCAAACCCAATGACTCACAAATTTCTTTATAGTATAACTGCCCTTCTCCAAATACTAGGTCTAGTACTCACGTGTTTGAAGTTTCTTCAACCTCTTTGGGGCTGCATAGCTCTTCTTAAAATCATACTTTTTTGGTCTGTTTATGTGCGTCATGATTTTTATTCAATCTTAAGAAGAGTTGCCAACACTGAGAAAACACTGGCATCTAGATGTTTTGCTCAGGAAATGTTTCTTATAACTTCTTTCCCTACATGTAATCCTTAAACTCAACCTAGCCTCATAACCCAACCTCATTTCCTAATAGTTATTGATATAAAAACTATTATAATAACTGTGTTCACTATATTGCCAGATATTTTTTTAACAGTTCCTGATTAAGACCACTTTCGCAAAGGGTGGACTCCGGTTTGCTTGAATCTGTCAACTGTCCATTTATGAAAAATAGACACAGCCCGCTCCGCACTATGGGCAGCCAGGTGTAAATGGACCAACTGTCTGTTTACACCCAACTGCCCTCCAATTTGCTAGATGGAAGAAGAATGGGTACCCTTCCATTTTTTTTATCCAATTGGAGGTAGGTGGGTGTAAATGGACACAAGTCTGTTTATATCCACTGCTCCACAGAAGTGAGTGGAAGGTCTGATCAGGTCTGCCTGAAAAACGGACAAGCGGATCCAATCGGACCAATCGTGTGAAAGGGGCCAGTCTAAAGCTTGTTACCTTCTGCCTTACACACTTTCAAAGTAGTCCATCACTGGGATACATAGGTGATCAAGGTAGGAGGGGTGAGGCTTATTCAGGATAATATCCTGTAGTTAAATACAGTTGGTGTTGTTACGTAGAACTACTAAGTACTGTGAGGGCCCAGGTACCCAGCACACTGCAAAGTATGTCAGATGCTGAAGATTCTAAAGCCACCTTGGCTTTTGAAGACAGAAAAGATCAGTGCCATGGATAGCAGGACTGGTAAGTAATAACTCTTTTCTTTGCTGGAAAGCCTTCCTTTAAAATTAAATTTAATATCAGAGGCGTTTTGAAAGAGAAGTATTGCAAAAGCCATTTCAGCCATACTTCTCATCTGGGTCACAAGAGTCACAGAGCAGATCATGGCTCTGAAAGGATCTCGACTTTAAGGTGAAGATCCATCCAGATGCCTGACTGGGAGCTGACTCAGCCTCTCAGCACACTGCTGAGAGGCTGAGCCAGCCACTCTCTTCCCTTCCACAGAGGGGCGCTCCAGGGAGTGCTGAAGGGGCAGAGCAGACAGCCAGTGATTGACAGTCACTGCTCAGTGAACACCAACCGAGGCCTGAGCAAGCAATGGTCATGTCATCACTCAGTTCTTGGTCTTAGAGCCGGCAGGGAACAGCTGCAACATCAGATTAATGCTGCAGCCATATAGGTGAGTATGTAGGTTTGTCTTTTTTATGTCCTGCACTTCTCCTTTAAGGTTTACCTATAGACTGTCTGTTGCTAGCATCCACCAACTTTATTTTCATTTGAACGCCACCATGTTAGTTACAATTAAAAATACTTTATATTCCTTTCAAATTATTTTTTTTGTGTCAATTTCCAATTTCATATGGTGTCTTTTACCCCCACAGGAAGGAGGATGTGCCCAGGAGAAAGTCTGGCTCGAATGGAGCTCTTTCTGTTTTTTACTACCCTCTTGCAGAAGTTCACCTTGACCACGACAGTGCCTCGAGAAGATCTGGACCTAACCCCCGAGGTCAGCAGTGCTGGACACCTGCCTCGCTCCTACAAAATGTGTGTTATTCCCCGTAATGGCAATTTATTGTCTGAAAGTTCAAACTAAATTTTTACTTTTTTTTTTATAGTCTTGCAATAAACTAAATTAAACTTTTACTGTTTTTAACTGACTGTAATGTGATTTGTATAAATACAGTTTCAAAAATAAATATGTCATCATGCTATATTTTACTTATGTATCCCATTTTAAAGGCAGAGGTATAGACAGTGATCTGGAAGGGTGGCTACCACCTCCTGATAATTCACCATTGCACAACCTAAGGTTTAAAAATGGCACACCAGTTCTTAAAAATATTCAAAATAAAGATAACGATAAACTTGCAAAGGTATATCTACCTTTATATCTATAATGTTAATAGATCCACGTGCCAGTGGGAAGAAGGACTGGACACTGCATAGCTTGCACAGGCAAAGCTATGAAGCAGCTGAGCAGTCTTTGCTTCATATGTATATATAAAAATGCAGCTCTATCTGGTATTACTATATCATAAATGGTGATATTAATAACTATAGGCCACAGTCCAGTAGGTGTTCATAGCAATACAGTTTATGTGAGAAATACATGATTTCCTGGAGAGAGATTCAGAGGGTGCCAACAATTTCTGGCCATGACTGAGTATGTCTATTAAACAAAAGGTGCTCATTGATTCCCAGTGCAGATGGTAGAAATGTGTACTAACCAGAAGCGTATTGGTAATACGCATGTGAGTAAATATCCTGAAGATTCCCCTCTCTTTTCTGGTCTGATCACGGGTAAAAACTGGAAAAAAGTGAAGATGAAGCGCCCTCGAGTGGTGAAGATTTGGTCCAGCAGGTCAGAGAAATCTTTGCCAAGATGTAGTTCCCCCTCTCAGGAGCTGACACAGGAATCACTCTGGGGCTGTAAAATTGAAAGAGCTCCTCGCAGGAGACACAAGGAAAAACTCATAGTGTAGTAGGTAACTGACTTTATTAGAAAAGCAAGGGTGTATAGTAAAACCGCAATGGTGCCAGATATGGGTGAACAGACTGACCCTTTGAATACAAAGATAGCCGCCGGGCCTCCATGTGGCACCGGCGGCGTGGTGTCAACAGCGTCCTGGGCTCCAACTGATGCGTTTCGTGAGCACGCACTTCTTCAGAGGATCACGGGTAAAAACTGGAAAAAGTGAAGATGAAGCGCCCTCGAGTGGTGAAGATGTGGTCAGCAGGTCAGAGAAATCTTAGCCAAGATGTAGTTCCCCCTCTCAGGAGCTGACACAGGGAATCACTCTGGGGCTGATAAAATTGATATGAGCTACGTAGAGCTCTCTGCTCTGCTCTACCGTCAAATCTTGGGTGAGAACCTTCTTCCCTCAGCCAAGGCATTGAAAATGGGTCGTGCATGAGTGTTCCAGCATGACAATGACCCAAAACACACGGCCAAGGCAACAAAGGAGTGGCTCAAGAAGAAGCACATTAAGGTCCTGGAGTGGCCTAGCCATTCTCCAGACCTTAATCCGATTAAAAATCTGTGGAGGGAGCTGAAAGTTCGAGTTGCCAAACGTCAGCCACCAAACCTTAATGACTTGGACAGGATCTGCCAAGAGGAGTGGGCTAAAATCCCTCCTGAGATGTGTGCAAACGTGATGGCCAACTATAGGAAATGTCTAAACTCTGTGATTGCCAACAAGGGATTTGCCACCAAGTACTAAGTCATGTTTTGTGAAGGGGATCAAATACTTACTGTATTTCCCTCATGAACATGCAAATCAGTGCATCATTTGTTAGACATGCATTTATTTTGAATTTTCTGTTGCTATTCTGTCTCTCAGTGTTATAATACACCTACCATTTGATTTTTAGACTGATCATTTATTTGTGAGTGGGCAAACATTCAAAATCAGCAGGGGATCAAATACATTTCCTTCACTGTAGGTCAGAATTGTGAGATAACAACACAGAAATCTGACATATTATCTCTGACTTTTACGATTCATCTCACAATGACTGAAGTTTTTTTTTTTTTTGACCCCAGTGCTCTTCCGTACAAAAGACTTTAAAGGAGATGGTTTTAATAACCGGAAGAAGTAATATAGAGGGGACAAGGAGCAGAGGGTGGAACAGTAGAGATAAGATACTACTATATATTATTATACACAATAAGGCAGATTCACAATAGCAACCTGTCAAATAATAACACATCAGATATCCTAGGCATATAATTACAGCACAGTGACAGACTAAGGGTTAAGAGAGGGTGTGACAACTTGTAGGAAATACTCCTCCATGCTCTAGCCCTGGTCTGCTGTATATATATACTTCCTGAGTGCACAGCCCTGCTTGCAGTGTGTGGTATGTGAACACACAAATATGGCGTGGACCCTGTACTTCCTTATAGTTGTACTGCTACTGTTGCTTGTCAGGAAGGTGTTTGGTAGACGAGGGAATCTCCCTCCAGGCCCCACACCTCTACCTGTCCTGGGAAACCTTCTACATCTGAAGAGCCGAGAGACACACAAGCCTATACTAGAGGTGAGTTATGACAAAACTAATTGGTTAATAGGTAACCTAGAGCATGCACTTTCTGATTTAATACACTGGGGCCAACTTGTTTGAAAAAGTGAAAAATTATATCCTGAATGTAATGGGTGGCTATGCACAGCCTAAACATTATTCCCCAGTTTATATGTATACTGCATGCACGTTAGAATATGTTTTTCAAAGTAAAAGAGTTTACAGAACTAGAGTGTGACAAAGGCAGCCCATACATTCATTTTTATTTTCATTCAGCCATTGGGTTGAACCTGTCAGGGACCATCGCGACTCATGGGTCTGCACATGCGTAGGTGTTTGTAAAGACATGCAGGCATCAGGGCACTAGGACCCAGGCGCACCCGTCGCCTATGACGGTGCTGGGCAGGCACTAGGACCTAGGCTGTGCCTGTCAGGTGCAGGGCGGGCTACTTAAATCAGCCCTGCACAGACACAAGTTGCCGTATGGTCTGATCTGGTTCCCGTGTTCCTGTTGTTTGAGATTCGTTGCTGACCTGCCTGGACCTGACCTCTGCTGACTTCTCCTGCTCTGACCCCTGGCTAAGTTTTACCTCTCTTTTGGATATCCCTACCAGATCTGAACTACTGGTACGAGACCCCGGTGAGTGACCTGACTATTCTTCTGCCTGCTGCCTTGTACCTTGCTGACCCCTCTGTTACCGACCTGGCCCGTTTGACCACGCTATTGCTCAACCATCCATCCGACCCGCACGGATTAGCTGCTACTCTCCAGACCTTTCTGCCTCTTCACGTCAGGCTCTCTACCTGTCATTACCTCTGGTGATTCCTCTACCTCAGGTGGGTGTACTCAGGGGCCGCGACCTGGTCACTGTCCGCTCCAAGCCCATCCCCACCATCAGGGGCTCTGGTGAACAAGCGGACTGGGGCTTAGACTCCGCGCCCTGGGGAATCCTGTCCTGGGGACTGCTAGAGTACGCCAGGTGGTCCATAACAGAACCAAAAAAATGACTTAATTCTCCTAGCTACACATTCTATTTGGCTGGATTTCAATTCCCAGCCATCAGAATACACTTACAGTATTCACACATACTGCAAAAGACTTGAGACCAGAGGTTCACCTTCCAGCAGGACAACGACCCTAAACATACAACCAGAGCTACAATGGAATGTTTCAGATTAAAGCATATTCATGTGTTAGAATGGCCCAGTCAAAGTCCAGACCTAAATCCAATTGAGAATCTGTGGCAAGACTTGAACATTGCTGTTCACAGACGCTCTCCATCCAATCTGACAGAGCTTGAGCTATTTTGCAAAGAAGAACGGGCAAAGATTTCACTCTCTAGATGTACAAATCTGGTAGAGACATCCCCAAAAAGACTTGCAGCTGTAATTGCAGTGAAAGGGGGTTCTACAAAGTATTGACTCTGGGGCGCTGAATACAAATGCACGCCACACTTTTCAGATATTTATTTGTAAAAAAAATTTTGAAAATCAATTATCATTTTCCTTCCACTTTATAACTATGTGACACTTTGTGTTGGTCTATCACATAAAATCCCCCAAAAATACATTTACGTTTTTGGTTGTAATGTGACAAAATGTGGAAAATGTCAAGGGATATTAATACTTTTTCAAGACACTGATTAAGCGGAATTTTTCAATCGGTAGATTGACTTCTGTACAATGTGCCTGCCCAAACATGGATCAAAATTCGGCTGTTCCCTGCTGAACCAAACAAATTGTGATACTGAATCTGTATCCTGCTGCTACTAATGGCCTGTACGCACATTAGGAAAATTGTAAAATAATTTCCGTATGAGGAACAATCTGCAGATTATCTTGTTAGTATAGTGCTTTCAACAGCCGATTCTATAAAATTCCAGAAAATGTTTATCATACGCGAACACAACATCCACTATTAGTTTAATGTGTACAGTAATTGTATGGAAATAATTGAATAGGAAAAAATTTGCATGATCAGAAGCATAACCCTACACTTCCTCTTCTATTAGGCGGGGTGCTTAGAGGTGGGATGGACTCTCCTATTGGCTAATCTTGCAAGTACTATGTCACGGATCAAACCGCATGCCCACAGTGACTAGCTAACCGAGGCGTGGTCCGTGACTAGGGTAAAGAGGGAATGAGGGGTACTTTGAGCAAATAAGACTAGGCGTCATACACTTTCACGTCCTGCACTACCTCTGGTCACCACTACAGGGACACTCTACTCCAATCCATCTGGCTGAACACACACAGGCAGATTCAAATCTTACATACAATCTGGTGTACTCTAAGGGTTGGGGAGCAGCCTAGCAATTAGCACACCCTTCTAGGATTGCTCCAGCTATCCTGCAAGCTAGAACCCCAGTGTTAATCACTCTTCCACTGTCCACACCCCCCCCCCCCACACACACACACAGCCACCACACAACAAATGGTAGCTTGCCATCACCCAACAGTTTTTCTGCAAACTGGTCTGCTGGGCCACCACACACACAGATCTTTACCTGGCATATCTGCTACTTTACAATCTGCATGCAATCTGCCAACACACAGTGCAATTGCATACAAATTGGAAATCTCTAGACTGAGCACATAGACACTACAACAATCTCTCTGGAGATATGAGCCCAAACTTAAGTTCACAGAAGTCACTTATTAATTTTATGATTTAATATCCCGAAAGTGGGCAGTGCATAAAATATGTACAAAGAAAAAACGGTTGCAGAAAATACAAAAAGACACACAATTGGCTATTCACTATGAAATAAAAAGGGAATAAAAACAGAAATAAAAGCTTTACCAAGATTTATCCTGTGACTAGAGCAAGTCAAAGATTTGCCAGTCATATGGAACCGGCTCCGTACGAATCACCCCATCCATATCTCAGTGTCCTCAATTTATTGAAATATGAATGTGGGCTTGACTTTAGCCCTTGGCCAATCAACCCTGGGGGGTGTTCCTGTACCAGCCCACAGGATGTTCTGTGTAATGAAGTGCCCAATCTCGAATATGCCAGAAAGGTTCTCATCACTGGGTCAGGGATAGGATTTTCGACACCAGTGCATCAGTTCGATTGCGACAGTACCAGTTACTTTTCAGCTGTCGCAATCAGGTGCTATATAACCATTTTGTGCATTTCTCTGGGATTCCACAGAGGCTACAAATACACTTTTACATGTAGATGTAGCCTAAAATGTGTCCAATCAGAAGAAAGTATTTTCATCTCTCAACTAATATTTTAGCTTTTATGAGAGATGAAATTGATTCCTCTGATCTGTGGATATAAATCTGGCAGACATTTCGGAGCCCTCTCCTGGTCCCCTGTGGTTTCTTGAAGCCAAAATGGCTAGAGCTCTTCTTTTAGATTTCAAGAAGTTGGTAAACTCTGGCTACATAGATGACGTTTTATTGGCATCTAGGTATCATCTCTAGCCTAGAAGCTGCTCTGTCCTTTCAGATGCTAATTGGTGAACATATGTCTCTGACTGAATACTGAAAACTTATCTTTCATTAAATGGAATGAAACTAGATCTACAATTACATATTTCTAAAGATCACATTACATCTCAACAAATTAACTCTTACATTTACGTTACATACTACACACAAAAGATCTTGCTACCCTCTTAGGACTGTGGGTATCCTTTTACAAGCTACAAAACAATAAGAAAGAGGGAACACCGACCTAGTGCATCACCATAGCTAATTTGTATTAAAATATATAAAAACAAGTACTCACAAACATATGTTGTACACGTGCATATCAAAAGACACAGATGAGACCACCTCCAAGTCCACCATACACGGCTGATGGCATGGGAAGACCTCTAAACGACCTTAGATGGCTAATGGGTTTGAATGCTCAAGCCCTCTTCATCAGGGCTCTGTTTTTATACATTTTAATAAAAATGTAGTTATGGTAATGCTCTAGGTTGGGGGTTCTTATTGTTTTGTGACTAGAGATTGCATCCTGGAGCCTAACTTTTTGTCAGTCGTCTGCTGCCAGGCACTGGGACACCGCTTCACTGATCCAAGGGATTTGAAATCCCCATGGCTTAATTTCCTATCTGTACCTCTCAGTGTATGGACAAAAGGCAAATACAAGGACTAAAAAAGGTTAACCAAAGGGATGGAACAGCCGATATAGAAGGGATTAAATTCAAGATCACCCAGTATTAATATCGGCTACCATATGATCGCTGACTCACCCATGAAAAACACAAATAAAACTTAATGGGTGTGGTCACCGAAACTCATACTCCATACATGTTTTCATAGGAAAAAGCGTTCCCCGAACAAAGATAGTGTCATGTGGAACCATGCAGCTTTATCAAAGGGCTTTTATTAGAAAAAAACAAAACAAATGTGCATTGCACAAGTGTACACACAGAAACTGAACACACCACCACCGTAACTCCACCAAACTAAAAAGACAACGTTTGTCTCGTCACCTTAGCAGCTGCTCATACAACCTCCAACATACACACTTAGGGGAAGAGGGCGAGAAAGGCTAAAGGTGCAACTTGGGAACATATGGGACAAGAACCCTGTATGGAATGTAAGAGTTGGATGATAGTCATTCAGTAGTGTCCCATATAATAGAGATAGGAGTCAGGTAGAAGACCGGTTGTCCCATAACCAGATATAATGAATAATAGGACGCCTGAGAATCCATTTGCAAGTGAGGCTTGCCAGTCATAATCTGGATATGAATGTCCCATTAGTTGGCCAGTTTAGGCCACATAATGTGCCACCGTCCACTCCATTAATACATAGTTACCAAGTAGCCAGATTCATGTTTCACCCAATGAGCTTGGGCTTCTTCCATCCCTGAATTACCTCTTGTGAATAAACATATCACGGTGTAGGAGTTATTGGAACAGGGATTACTGATAAGCTAGTGATCTTATCTTGATTGTAAAATTACACCTCTTGCTTCCACACACAATGAAAGCTTCACCCTTCATTATTACATTTATATCAAGGTGACTGTTCAGGTCCTTGGACATCACTGGAGATTATATAATTGCATGGTTTAAGCTTTAATGCTCTCTATGATTTGTGTTGGGTTCTGTTGCTTTATTAGGTGTTTCTAAAGTAATTTCAACTACTGCTGGAGCACACAACGAAAGTCGAACTGTACCACCACATCACAAGCAGTGTATATTAGAGACAACCATTCGAGGGGTTGTGCATTCACCTCTTCCCTCAGTTTAGCCATTCACAAAGCCCATGTTGTGATGACATAACCCATCACTGGAGCAGCAGGACGCACCACAATACTCATTTGGTGGCCACAGCAGCAAACACACATGACTATGCTCTATCACTCCTCTACATATTAGAATGAAGAACTAAGCTCACTCTCAAGAAGATTTAACCAACGGGCACTTCCAACCAAAATTTAAACAAAGGCACCTTTAGCCTTCAACAGATATAATTATTATTATTAATAATAATAATATACAGGATTTATATATCTCCAACAGATTGCCCAGCCCGTTACAAAATACAGGTGGATAGTACAGTTACAATACAATTCAAAACAGAATGGTTAGGAGGGCCACAGGAGCTTACAATCTAAAGTGAGGAGCAAGCGATACAAAGGGCATTAATATTGAGGGATGTGCTGATGTAGAAATAGATGTTCCATTTTGGGTGGAGGCAGGATAGGGTTCACCTGAAGAGATGGGTTTTCAAGAAGGTGGATAGGTAAGAAGATAGGAAGACAGATTGGGGTTGGGGGTTCTAGAAAATGAGAGAGGCTCCAGAGGCTGGAGGTGACGAGGTGGGTGGAGATTGAGAGGTCTTGAGAGAAACAGAGAGAACCATTTGGGTAATATTTTGAGATTAGGTTGGTGATGTAGGAAGAAAGTGTTGATGCCGCTGGCTTTGTTTGTTATTTTTAGCATCCTGAATTTTATTTGTTGAGCGATTAAAAGCCAGTGGGGCAGTACCAAACATTTGTTAAGGGAAATCATTCAGATACACTCAAGTGATAGTCTTTCAGTGAAAAAGTCTATCAGACCTTTTGAATTATGTTGATTACTAGAATATTGTTCAGCTATAAATGCTAAATATTTGGCATTGTATTCTAAAGATTCCATTTGGAGACAAATTTCTCCATCTACAATACAACATTTTGAAAATTAGAATTGTAAATGGATATGTAGCTAATGTTTCCCTTCTTCCAGCTCAGTAAGAAGTATGGACCTGTCTACACGTTGTACATCGGGCCACAGCCTGCAGTGGTGTTGGTTGGATACAAAGCCGTGAAGGAAGCTCTAGTTGACCATGCAGAGAATTTCAGTGGCAGAGCAGAGGTCCCAATTGTGGATATTACCAGCAAAGGATATGGTCAGTTCTTTTCCAAGGCAATCATTTTCCTGAGCTCTTTATTGATTACAATGTGATATAAGAACAATTGTATTTATTGCCTTTTCCTGTGCATGCCTTCTTATTTAATTCCTTTAAAGTATGTGTGTGTATGTATATATATATATATATATATATATCATTAAAAATTCCACAGGAAACCTTAAAGTGATTGTAAGTGCTAAATTTTTTATTAAAATAACAAACCTTCTCGACTTACTCATTGTTCATTGACATACAGATCGTGGCTCAACACCCCCCCCCCCCCATGCTTCCCCCTCACTGGCTGTGATTGACATCAGCCAATGGCTACAATAGCATGGTAGGGGAGGTCCCTGCATAATACATTATTTGTTTTGCTGGGAAACTTTTCTTTTTTTGTTCAATCCGGTGATTGAGCAGAAAAAATTGAACATGTATACCCTGTTTTATAATTGCTAGGGTTGACTATTTTTTTTTTTGCTTTGTGCTAGGAATTGCTTTTAGCAATGGTGAACGCTGGAAGGAACTCAGGCGGTTCACTTTGATTACCTTGCGCAACTTTGGAATGGGTAAAAGAAGCATTGAGGAACGTATACAAGAAGAAGTCCAGCATCTTTTGGATTTTTTTCAGGAAATCAAAGGTGGGCAGACAGCTTTCACACAAGCTTAAGTGTAAAGCTCAAATGCAGGCAATATGTGGTAGGCAGTGCCTGGTGATTTACACTTAGTATGATGTCAGAATTACACTTTCATTGATTTAAGACTTGGTCCACCCATGATAGCTGTGGGAGCCTCAATCTGCATCAGATATGAGTGTTCCAGGTAGGAGAAAATCACCTGTATCTTTAGTAATGACAACAGAAATAGTTGGTTAAGGGCCCTGTAAACATTCTGATGCAGCTCTTAAAAAAATTCCATGCAATATATCATCTAAGCAAAGAACAAGCATGTCTTAATTGAGCCTCTAAGGAGTCCTTACAAAATTTGGCCATGTCTTGTCCAATTAGACAAAGGGGTTTCTGTTGCAAAGTGATTCCACAGAGGCTTTAAAAGCAGCAGATTCATCCTACGTAAGAGCAGTTTATAAGACCTTATGGTCTGGAAAAGTTTAAATGGTGTTGAAATGGATTATGCTGTATACTATATGTACTAAGAATCTGAAAGAAATATTGCTATATTGAATAATGACACTGTAATCCATCTAGTTTTTACACAAAATTAGAAACTAACTTCGAATGGTGTCTCCAAAGAACCTTTTTAGCTGGGTAATAGCTAGAAGATTTCCCTTCCAATTACCTACCCATGTGTGGCTGCCTGCTGTCATAGCTAGTAATATAGATCAAAATGTTTACATTTGTAATGACAAGACAATTGGATTGGCCTATAATATTACTGGCTAAGAAATTTAACTAGATACAATAAGGCTAATAAATGGAAAAAAAAAACATGACTTGAATCCGATGCTTGGTGAAAGGTAAATGTGAAGTCTGATTACTGCTTACATTCTCTGCCATGAGAAGATGCCTACCACTGGTGATGCAGAAGATTCATAAATATCCAGTGGTGCTGCTAGGATTGTGAAAGACTGTGGAGACTTATGGGCACTTAGAAGATAAAGAAAGAGCCATGTCAACTATTAGGCGTGGCCAACCTGTGCTAAAAAAAAACAAGCCACTCACTATATGCACATATGCTATAGTTCTTGTATCCAAAAATATGCTTTAATTGCCATAAGCAAGAGTCTAAGTGACTTGTACAAACCTAAAAAAAAAAACAACAAAACTCTTCCATTACTTTTCTGCACACAGCCCACCTTAAAGAAGAAATGTATTAACATAGCCAGTAACTGTTTAGCATCAGTTGAAATCATAAACACCTCTGTCAGTTATATGTAATATACAATAATATAGCATAGAGAATGCAGAGGTCAGGAGTATATAATTTACTTAGAGTGCAGTGGTCAGGAGCATGGCGTACACAGCCCATCATACAGAGTGCATTGGTCAGGAGTATGTAATGTACAACAGTGTATATAGTGTTGGGTTCAGGAGTGTGTAACACAAAAGCACAGGAGTACCTAAGCCACAGAGCAGAGGGCTCAAGAGTTTGTTTTGCACAACATGCAGGGCTCTAGAGTATGTCATGCAAAGGCCAGTATACAGAGTATACAGTATTTAGAATACAATCAAATTCCCTCCCTCCTACAAGTACAAATCCCCTTCAAGCCCAAATCCCTCCAGTACAGATCTTCCCCCTACAGCCCCAAATCCTTACCCATTTCAAACTTTCCCTCATCCCTAAACCTCCAGCACATCCTGCCCTCCTTAGTTATAGCTGTTATTCTTACAGTTTTCATTCTGAAGATTGATATATATATATATATATATATATATATATACAGTTGCAAAAAAAGTATGTGAACCCATTGGGGTTATGTGGAGTTTTGCATGAAATGGGCATAAAATGTGCTCTGAACGTCATCTAAGTCACAACAATAGAAGAACACAGTCTGCTAAACATAATACTACACAAACATTAGATGTTGCCATGCTTTAATTGCATATAACATGTAAACATTCACAGTGCAGGGAGGAAAAAGTATGTGAACCTTTGGACTTAATAACTGGTTGACCCTCCTTTGGCAGCAATAACCTCAACCAAACATTTCCTGTAGTTGCAGATCAGACCAGCACAACGATCTAGAGTAACTTTGGACCACTCCTCTTCACAAAACTGTTTCAGTGTAGCAATATTCTTGGGATGTCTGGTGTGAATCGCTCTCTTAAGGTCATGCCACAGCATTTCAATCGGGTTGAGGTCAGGACTCTGACTGGGCCACTCCAGAAGGAGTATTCTGTGCTGTTGCAGCCATTGTTTTGTTGAATTACTTGTATGCTTTGGGTTATTGCCCTGTTGCATCACCCATCCTCTGCGGAGCTTCAGTTGGTGGACAGATGGTCATACGTTTTCCTGCAAAATGTCTTTATAAACTCTGGAATTAATTTTCCCATCAATGACAACAATCCGTCCAGGCCTTGAGGCAGCAAAGCAGCCCCAAACCATGATGCTCCCTCTGCCATGTTTTACAGTGGGGATGAGGTTTTGATGTTGGTGTGCTGTGCCTTTTTTTCTCCACACATAGTGTTGTGTGTTCTTCCCAAACAACTCAATCTTGGTTTCATCTGTCCACAGTATATTTTGCCAGTAGTGCTGTGGAACATCCAAGTGCTCTTTTGCAAACTTCAAACGTGCTGCAATATTCTTTTTGGACAGCAATGGCTCCCATGTACTTCATTCTTGTTTAATGTTTTCCTTCTTGTAGATGTGTCAACAAAAATCTTAGCATGTGCCAGAGATTTCTGTAGGTCTTTAGCTGACACTCTGGGATTCTTCTTTACCTCATGCAGCATTCTGCGCTGTGCTCTTGCAGTCATTTTTACAGGACGACCACGCCTAGGGAGAGTAGCAACAGTGCTAAACTTTCTCCATTTGTAGACAGTCTGTCTTACCGTGGACACATGTACATCAAGGCTTTTGGAGATACTTTTGTAACCCTTTCCAGCTTCATGCAAGTCAACAATTCTTGATTGTAGGTCTTCTGAGAGCTCTTTTCTGCGAGGCATGGTTCACATCAGACAGTGCTTCTTGAAACCAGTAAACCCAAAACAGGTGTGTGTGTTTTAAGGGCAGGACAGCTGTCAGCAACACATCGAATATTATCACACTGATTGGAGTCAAGGTTGGCTCAGTCCTGGCTCCAATTAGCTCTGGGAGAAGTCATTAAGCTAGGGCCTCACATACTTTTTCCTCCCTGCACTGTGAATGTTTACATGTTATGTGCAATTAAACCATGGCAACATCTAATGTTTGTGTAGTATTATGTTCAGCAGACTGTGTTCTTCTATTGTTGTGACTTAGATGATGTTCAGAGCTCATTTTATGCCCAATTCATGCAAAACTCCACGTAATCTCAATGGGTTCACGTACTTATTCTTGCAACTGTATATATATATATATCAGATGAATCTGCTGCTTGGCCACTATTTTGGCCATGCTCATTTTGTGTACCTACTCATATTTCTTCTTACAACTTATAATATACGTTGTTAAATTCTTGAATACTGACTTACGATATGCACCTACCCCTGTTGGTATACCATTGTAACACACAATGAGAAAATTCTTACATATTGTCATGAAATGTGTACGTAACCCTGTTTGTGTAACATTATAAACCAATAAAAACTTTACTGATTAAAAAAGAAAAAGTGAAACGACATACAGTACTACCTCTGCAGCTGCACTGTGAAATCCTACCTCTAATTTTCTCTTCTCTGTCTCGTCTTCTTTTTTGCCTTTGCTGTTTGATAGTAGATTAGCTGTTATGGAAATTAATTTTTGTAATTTAAAGTCAACACCAACAACATGGACAAAGAGAAAAACTTGATTTTGGATCTTCAAAGTGTTGACACTTCACATTGCACATACATAAACTAAATTATTTAATTGTGCGGGTTTTTTATTAAAGCCAGCCAATGTTATTGCCATTCATAGGGTATAACTGTTTTGTTCATGGTGCTGTCTATGATCTGTATTACTACCCAACCTGTAAATGACTGACTAAAGCTTAATATATCTATTTCTTTGCAATGCTAACATATGTAGACAAATTACCTCCTTGACTCATTGGACTTAGTTTTGAGCTTCACATTCTATTTATCTGTTTTTAGGTTCTGTTTTTAATCCAGCATTCTTTATCCGTCGGTCAGTCTCTAATGTAATCTGTTCTGTCCTCTTTGGGAGACGGTTTGAGTATACAGATCCAAAGCTGCAGACACTGCTGGACCTGATGACCGAGAATCTCCGAAGGGTGGACAATATCTGGGTTCAGGTAAAAACTTGTGTTATTGTAGACAAATCCTGGGAATCATCAACTGAGCTGACAGGCGGATAACTCGACTACAATAGAAACACTGGAACACCAAATGTTCTACTGTCTTTTTCTGACTCGGCTAATGTGTGGATATGGAATGTGCACTGTTAAAAGATTTATTCTCCCTTGTAGGGAATAATCAATATCTTACAGAGATTTCATGTTGGAGTTTGTCTTGTTTGTGATAGCTTTTACAAAGCTTATGGGGTCTTTTTTTTTGCTACTTTCTAGTTTGGGTGTATCTAAGGCCTAAATATTTGAATTAGTTTTAGTATGGAAGGGTTGGGAGGATGTACACCGAATTCCCTGCATGTCACCAATCTTTCTTTCCACATGTGTTTATCCTAAGTGCCAGTTGAAATGCAGTTCATATTAATCCATGTTTTTAACATGGGTTGCTATGCATTTTGTAATTTTACTTTTTTATGATGTTATTGTGAAACATTGCAACAATTTAGGACAAAAAGAGTATTGTTTCACAATGTATAACAAAAACACATTATGCACTATTTAATTATATTAGAACTTTAATGTACATTATTGAATAATCTGCTATTCTGCAAGCAAATCTGCAGATGCAAACAGACTTTAAGTGAGGAATTCCTTTGTTTACAGTGGTGGAATGTGTAACCGGATGTATTTATCATTCTATGCATTCCATACTGTCTGCCTGCCACCTTGTGGAAGTAAGCCAAATTTCCTGGATTTTAAGGTATTTCAATCATGATTCAACCAAATTAGGAGTGTGAGGAATCAAATATAATGGGTCTTTTATTGTGCCTTAATAGGAGTGTTCAACACAAAACTGTTAGAATACAAAATATTTATTACAATAATTAAATACATTAAAAAAATGTGAACCAGAGTATATGAAATATCATATCATTAGTATTTACCATAGATGAGCACATAGATACAAATGCAAAGATAGCGTGATGGATCAATGCGTTTCGCAGTGCAGTTGCTTCCTCATGATCCACGTCTGTATTTTGAAGATCGGCTGTCTTGGGACATTGGGGGGGGTGAGTGACCTTTGGGGGGTGGAGGTGATGGGGCAGGGGTGTGGGTTGGCAGAGGGCTGTTAAGTGTTTGAAGTGCAGGTGTTTCTTCTCCTCTCTTCTTCTCTTTTCATCTCTTCTTTTCTTCTCTTCTCCTTTTTTTTCCTTCTTCTTTCTTCTCCTTTTTTCCAACAGTGGAAGCTGTTTATGTTCTATATTGTATTGAGTTGTCCTGTTTATTTTTGTTATTGATATTTGATGTATGATGTTTTTGTATAGCCATACCAATCTTCCAAATATAGGCAAGGACCTTAAAGAACAAACTGCATTGTGAAACACGTCGATCTATCACGCCATCTTTGCATTTGTATCTATGTGCTCATCACATGTACTAACAATTTGACATTTGATATACTCTGGTAATTTTTTTTAGATTATTGCAATAATATTGTATTTTAACAGTTTTGTGTTGCACACTCCTCTTAAGGCATAATAAAAGTCCCATTATATTTGATTCCTCCCATTCCTAATTTAGGAGAATTGTGAAGAAAATTTCTTGAGATTGGGGATGATGACATAATGGGAGATTAAGGGACAGCTCCACTCACATTTATTGTATGTACAGTAATTCCTGGATCTTACATTTTATTTTTTATCTGTGTTCTCATTCCTACTAATTAGAAGCCAAACACTACATTAATGTCCCAATACAGGTGTACAATTTCATACCGTCCATCCTGAAATATATTCCGGGGCCTCACTATAAACTTGCCGAGAATTACCAAGCACAGCTGGACTATGTTGAGGAGATAGTAAGAGAACATGAAAAGACTCTGGACCCTACCTCACCACGAGACTATGTTGATGTGTTCCTACTGAAAATGCAACAGGTTAGAATTAGCATTTGTCATAATCAAGGTACCTGTATATGCTATTCTAGAAAAAAATGACTTATTAAAAGTTATCTAAATTATGAAGAATTCCTTGGGTCTCGGAGAGGTCAGTTGGACAGTGTTGGAAGCTTGAAGGCCTTCTTGAGTTAGTTTCTTATTGCTACATCTAAATCTTTCCAAATGTTTAACTGAACGCTTAACAATCTCTGAGGGAAGAACATGCTATATTGCCTATTAAAATGAATCCGATTAAAAGATGTACTAGAAAGTATAATGTGGATATACTCAGGGCCGTCTTTAACTCAGGGCAAAAGGGGCAGCTGCCCTGGGCCCTGTAATTATTCTGGGGCCCAAAACAGTTGCTCCTTGAGCCCGTGCTGCTCACAAATAGTTTCCAAGTTGTATCGGGTGCAGCCGATCCCCCCACTTGCTCTCCCAGCTGTGTTAATAAAAGAGGCACACTGTAACAGGGGAGAAGCAGAGCTGTGGGCTGTATGTGCTGCAGCCTCCCGCTTCTCCCTCTGTCAGGAGCTGCAGGACCAGAGCGACATGGAGTCAGGCAGAGTGGCTTTCTACGTTCCACCGCCCCCACCCCTCGCCTGTCAGACTTGTGTAGCACACAGCTGAGTGAAGTGTTCTGGCTATGTGCTACAGGTCTGATAGGCAGAGACTGCAGAGTATTGGAGAAAGAGCCCGCGCACACCTAGCAGAGCGGTGCCTGCTGAAGCTTCTGTAAACAGGTGAGAGAGAACAGTGGAGGGAAGGGGGGGGGGGGTCACATGTCCAGAGAATCAACTGTGGGGAGGTTGGAGGTGTAGTGCCGAGGTGCCAGATAGGGGGTGGAGGGATTTGTGAAGAGATGAGGGCTAGGAAAAGGAGGGAGGGTAAATTTGTGAAAAGGGGGAGATTGGTGGATTTGTAAAAAGAGGTGAGAGCTGTAAAAAGGTGGAGAACTAAATTTGTGAAGAGGTGAGAGCTCTGGGGGGGCATTTGTGAAAAGAGGCGAGAATTGTATAGGGCGAGGGGCAGGTTGTGTAAACTGCCTCTCATCCACAGCGTGGGGTGTAAGCTGTGGATGGGGGGAAGAGTTGAGTTGTTCACATTGGGTACAAAGACAAGCTGTGGACAGGGGGGCAGAGTTGAGCTCTAAATTGGGAAATAGGTGAACAGTGGCAAGAAAAGGTGGGCTGTGGACGGGAGAAAAAGTGGTGAGCTGTAGATGGGGGGGTGGGGTGGTACAGAGGTGAGCTGTGGATGGGGAGATGGTACAAAGATGAGCTGTGGATGGGGGAGGTCGAGAGGTGAGCTATGTATGGGGGGGTAGAGAGGTGAGCTGTGGAAGGGGGGCTACAGAGCTGAGCTGTGGATGGGGATTGGTACAAAGATGAGCTGTGGATGGGAAGGTACAAAGGTGAGCTCTTGATGGGGGTACAAAGGTGAGCTGTGGATGGGAAGGTAGAGAGGTGAGCTGCTACAGAGCTGAGCTGTGGATGGGGATTGGTACAAAGATGAGCTGTGGATGGGAAGATACAAAGGTGAGCTGTAGATGGGGGGTTACAAAAGGGAGCTGTGGATGGGGGTACAGAGGGGAGCGGTGGATGGGGGAGCAGAGCCCACATATCTGCTTAGATAAAAAAGTATGCAGAGGTGTGCTGGGGAGAGAATCCAAATTTACCAAGTGACTCCTTTGGGGGTGGCGCTACACTTGCTTTTGCTTTCACACACCGCAATGTGTGGACACACAACACATAGCCTCCACCCTGGAAGTCTACAGCATCCTACCAAATCAGCAGCAGCCCAATGGTAGATGGACAGTGCAAAGGGCCAATGAGAATGGTGGTCTGGCTTAGACAACAGGGTGCCACAGTCAGTGTTGGCAGGGCAGAGGGTGGGGCTCCAGAGTGCTGCTGTGCCTGGCCAGGTCTGCGCTGACTTGTGTGGGTTGAGGTGGTGGTGGGGAAGGAAGGTGACAGTGGAGGAGAGAGAGGTGCTGGCTGCCTCTGGACACTCGGCAATGAGCTTCACCAGAAGGACAAACTTTATGTAAGTCTCACCTTTCCTGAATGACTTCTCTATTCCTGGCTGGTCCTTCTGCTGCTGGTGGCATGACTAGTTATTGATTCCTGGCAGCCCATCCTCGGGGATGCTACTCACATTGGGCTCTGTTCCTACCTAACCTTTATAGTTGTGTGTGCTCCACTCCGCTCATTGCTAATAACAAGCTCTAAAAGTGTTCTTCTGTCTATTGGTAGGTCTCCTAACCTCCCTAGGTCATAGTGTACTGTCTGTGAGGAAATGATGTGCTGTAACCTTCAGCAACCAATTACTGAGCCATAATGATGTGCTATAACCTCTAGCAACCAAAAAGTGGTAACGATGTGCAGTAACCTATAACAACCAATCCATGAGCAATAATAAAGTGCAGTAACCTTCAGCAAATGATCAGTGAGTAGTAATGATGTGCAGCAACCTCTAGCAACCAATGAGTGATCAGTAAGGATGTGCAGTAACCTCTAGCAACCCATCAGTGAGCCTGGACCAATAAGTGAGTGTGGACCAGTTCTTTATGTTTATACTATTACATTTTTTTGCATAAGTTTATGTGTGTGTTTTTTTGTGATGTTGGGGTGCAGACCGAAATTGCATGGGGCCCAAGAAAATGATTGGACAGTGGGCAAACAATATTAAAGACGGCCCTGGATATACTGTAAGTAGATACAGTATAGGTAGAAACATGGCTAAGTGTAATGTGGGCAACAAAGATAATTTTCCTTTAACATATATTTTGCCATGCAGACTTACTGTATAATCCTTTACTTGACAACTTGACTTCCACTGTTGCCAAGCAAAATATTTTATCATTAAAAATGATTGTTTGTACGTACTATATACTTGCAAGGCTTTCAGTACTCACACAACTACATCTACCCACATCTAATGACATTCTTGCCGCCTGTGAGGGGATGTCATCACCACCTCTATGCCAACGACACCCAAATCTACCTCTCCACCCCCCCCCACCTCACCCCCTCACTCTCTGCCCGCATCGCCCACCTCCTAAACGACATATCAGACTGGATGTCACTCCATTTCCTCAAACTTAACTTATCCAAAACTGAGCTCCTGGTCTTCCCCCCACCCCGTGCCCCCCCCATCCTCTCCATCACTACTAACAACGCCACCATCTCTCCCACCCAACACGCCAAAGTCCTGGGTGTCACCCTGGACTCCCACCTCTCCTTCTTACCCCACATCCAACTGCTATCTAGATCTTGCAGGCTCCACCTCCGCAACATCTCCAAGATACGCACATTCCTCAACCCAGACACCACCAAACAACTCGTACACTCCCTCATCATCTCACGTCTGGACTATTGCAATTCCCTTCTCACCGGCCTACCAAAACGAACGCTATCCCCACTCCAGTCGATCCTAAACTCAGCGGCTATACTCATCCACCTAACCAACCGCTCCACATCTGCCTCCCCCCTCTGCCAATCCCTTCATTGGCTCCCGATTGCCCAACGCATCAAATTCAAACTGCTAACTCTGACCTACAAAGCCATTCACAACGCTGCCCCCAAACTACATAACTGACCTGATACCCAAATACTACCCTACCCATGCCCTCCGCTCCTCACAGGATCTCCTACTCTCTAGCTCCCTGGTCTCCTCCTCCCATGCCCGATTGCAGGACTTCTCTAGGACTTCCCCCATCCTCTGGAACTTCCTACCCCAATCCATCAGACTGTCACCTACCCTCCTCACCTTTAGGCGCACCCTGAAAACCCTCCTCTTTAGGGAAGCCTACCCCGACCTCACCTAACACCTGACCTCACCTAACTAACCTCCTCCACTCCTCCCATCACTCCTCCCCCACAGCCATTTCCTCCTGTACCACCTTACCCTCCCTCCTAGATTGTAAGCTCGAAAGAGCAGGGCCCTCGAACCTTTGTGTATTGTATTGTTACTGTCTTGTCTCATGTTCTGTCCCCCTTGCTACTGTACAGCGCTGAGCAAACCCTGTGGCGCTATATAAATACTGTATAATAATAATAATAATCACTGTGAGCCTCCAGTGACTTTTTTTCTCCTCACCCCTAAAGCCCATGGTAGTGGTAGCATGCTTTAAGGAAGTTTTTTGACACATGGGCCAGAAGACTTTCCATGCCTGCTGTGTATATGTGGACTTGAGAGCTTCTACTGACTACAACAGGCCTCAATTAAAAAATGTATCAGAAGGATAGCCTTATACATATGCACAGCTAGGGGTTAGGTCCTTGACTGGGCTGGAGACAGCCAATTGGCTAGTTTGACCTAGAGGGTGAATGAGTTGGAGGGGCACCTTCTACTTTGAGATTCAGTACAAGTTGTGGATATTTTGAGGTTTACTTTTGTGCTCTCCTTTGCTGTTTGTACCTTCAATTCTACAGTATATAACTGATAACTGCAGAAAGAATATTTAGCTTTTTTGGTGTTGCATAAAGTGGGGAGAGGTTAGAACTTCAATCAGCTTGTTTTTAATAACTTTAATATATACTCAGAAATACAGCATATGCTATAGCCATACTGGACTCAGACATTGTATTGTAAAGTGCTGCGCAACAATTCAAGTGAGTTTAGAAAGCATGATACATATGGGCCAAAGCATTGTTTAGAAGGGGTAGCGTATGCTGTTTTAACACTGGAAGCTTGCCTAGGTAACTCATTGGAGTATGGCTGAAAATGTAAATTTGGGGCAAGTTTAATTTTGGGAAAGCCAATGGTTGTGGGAAAGGCACTATTAATAAAGTAATACGGGAAAGATACATAGCCAGAAAATGTATACAGAGGAGGATGAGAAGAGAAGACAGAAAAAATTTCCATCAGCTTTTTACTGCTGTCTATTTCTCTTTGAAAGATTTCCCCTCACTTTCTCTTCCAGTGATGCACTTGATAGAGCAAGAAACATAATTTCAATAAGGGACACAAATAGGAACTAAAACATGGATATGTAGAGAACAGTAAGGGCACCCCACCAATGTTGTTAGGGTCCAGAGAAGTCTTTTATTCAGTATTCAGTAGAAAAGGAGAACCAACAAGTTTAAGGGGTTTACACACTCCTTTAATCAGGGCTTGTGTAACTTCAGTGATGCTTGGGCTCAGGGAATTGAAAATTCTTGTAAAAACATTGTCAAGTTTAAGCACCAATATTAGCTGCAGCAACTGTTGGCCATAATGATTATTTACTAGAAGACTTCTTTAAACTCTGGAACCATTGGTGGGAAACCATTATTGTTTTCTAAATATCTGGATTTCTCTGAGGACCCCCTCCTCTGTTTGAGGTCACTTTGGTATATGGGAAAAGCCTCACCAAATTGATTTAGCATAATCAATAAGATGGTCTCTTACAGCATTGGACATTAGTAATAGGAGACCTAGCACCTCTTATACATATACTTCTAGGAATTAAAATATGACAATTAATAAAAACTTACTCCACCATGTCTAAAACAAAAAAAAAACCCTGAAAAAACACTTTGGCAGGGGATCCATTTTACAGTAACTTTATTTATATTATATTAGCAAATTGATAAAATTGGGCCATGCTCTATACAAATGTCTCTATTTGTGTCATTATGGTGGGGGTTCCAGATGTGCATCTTATTGAAAAGTACAAAGTTGACAATTCTTTAGCAAAAGGAAAGTCCCTGATTCTTAAATCAACCAATCAGATATTTTCTTTTATTCCCCCATATATTTCAGGAAAGCAACAATCCACACACAGAATACAGTCTACCAAACCTTCTCTCCTGTGCACTGGACATATTTTTTGCAGGACAGGAGTCCACCACCAGCACGTTGTCTTGCACATTGCTCTTTCTTATGAAGTATCCTCATATTAAGGGTAAATATAGCTTTCTGAGAATGTGAAACAAATTATTGGCTAATTTCTGCCAGAATCAAAGCCACAGTTGTTATTTACAGAGGGCAAAGAATTGGTCTGGTGGGTTCTTACAGGGACTAATGTCACCAAGCTCCACCCCTACATGTTTTGTCTCAACTGAACTTTACCAAGGGTGCAAGCAGGGAAGGTGCAAGAAGCTTGAAAACAAGAAGGCCTTCAGGGTGCATGCCCAAAGGAAAACTGTTGGGTTAAAAGTTGCTTATTTGTTTTCAAAAGCGCAAGTTCTGATGTTCTTTCTTTTTTATTTGGGGAATCAATGACCTAGAACAAACATATACAAGTAAAATTTCCAACAACTTCTATGTGCGGGTTTGTTTAGTGTGAAAGGTATACAAAAAAGTAAAATAGTGAAGGAAGGAGACTAGTGAACATCCATTCAGTAACTTTTATTTCTCCTCACCCCTAAAGCCCATGGTAGTGGAAGCATGCTTTAAGGAAGTTTTTTTGACACATGGGCCAGAAGACTTTCCATGCCTGCTGTGTATATGTGGACTTGAGAAATTCTACTGACTACAACGGACCTCAATTAAAAAATGTATCAGAAAGAGAGCCTTATACATATGCACAGCTAGGGGTTAGGTCCTTGACTCAACTGAACTTTGCCAAGGGTGCAAGCAGGGAAGGTGCAAGGAGCTTGAAAACAAGAAGGCTTTCAGGACGCATGCCCTAAAGGAAAACTGTTTGGTTAGAAGTTGCCGCTGCTTACTTGGTTTCAAAAGCGCAAGTTCTGATGTTCTTTCTTTTTTATTTGGGGAATCAATGACCTAGAACAAACATATACATGTCAAATGTCTAACAACTGCTATGTGCAGGTTTGTTTGGTGTGAATGGTATACAAAAAAGTGAAATAGCAAAGGAAGGAGACCAGTGAACATCTATTCACTGATCTACTCTACCTAGCAAGAACCCAGAAGCTACATGAATAATGTTACTTACGGTTTCTGCTGGTCAATCTGCCCTCCATTAGCTTTAGTGAATGGCAGATGAGACATTAAGGTTCTAATCAGGGGCGGACTGACAACTCATGGGGCCCCCGGGCAATAGGGGATCATGGGGCTCCTGTGTCCTTGCCCAAACCCAAAAAAGCCTATGAAAAAGGTACCAGGGGCATCTCATGGGGCCCCCTACTGACCCCGGGTTTCCAAATGGTCAGTCCACCCCTGCTTCTAATAGGCCCTGATGTATCAATAAAGAAAACCTGTCATTAAAAAATAGTATCACATATGAGACATTTTTGGTCCCCTATGTGATAAAAAAGTAACATTTGGTGAAAAACTTGAGCACCCATTTCCACATAAAAGCACGTAAGGATGCAAACACACGTTTGGGGCGCCCATGTACAAAAACATTGTTTGTGCTATACATGTTACATATCGCCATGCACTCCAGAGTGAGAGAGATCATTCTTGAGCAATTATTCACATTAATTTGTAACTGATTACCTGTAGGGCCTTTTAAAACATTACCTATGGAAAATTTAGGGTACTAAAGTTTGTCGCCATTTCATGGGTGAATCTAGTATCTATTCACTCATCTTTTATTCTTTACAAAAAAATGGAATATATATTGGGTTTTTTTTAATGCCCTAAAATTAATTTTGGTGTTTTTTTTCTGAAATTTTGCACTTGATAATAATGTTCACAAAATTGTAACTACCATAATTTTATTCTTCAGTGTCTTCGCTTTCAAAAAAATATGTAATGTTTTTAGGGTTTTAGTTAATCTACAGGCCTACAATGATTTTATAAACGTGTTAAAAAAAATAGCAAAAACGGCTTTAGCAGTGAAAGGGTTAAATCTCGACTGCAGAGATGCAACCCACTAATGACAAACAATTTGCAATGCTGTTGCCCAAGCCGTAGGTGTATAGTCCACTGTGTACATGTCTCATTGGCTCTTGTCTCTTGCACAATAGAGAGATACTGAGGGCACGTTACTGAAAATCGCAGCCAGGAACACTGAGCAGTTGCCAACAGCATTCAGTTAGGTTTTGGTAGATTAAATAAATGAAGAAATGTGGAAGGATGAAAACTGCTCCATAGCAATCAATCATGATTAATTTGTCATTTTTACTAATTTAAAGTTAAAACCCAACTCTAGACAAAATATTTTGTTTAGTTTTGGATAGAGTGAGAAAGTTTTTTACAGCCTCTTGTGTTCCTACTGGGAAGATTTCAGGATAGGTCAAATAAAAGGATTGTGGGTGCAATATCAGGCTCCTGCAGAAACTGTCTGCCTCTACCTCCCGTAGAGGCAGGCAGTTACTTGAGAGCAGGAAGACCAATGAACTACGAGAGCAGTCATCAGCACCCTCATAGTTCATTGAGAACTACAACCCACCAGCCACAATGGCTAACAATACTTATAAACTATTAATTTACAGGAAACCCATCAAGGAAGCCCCTCGAGGCTACACTGTTTTTAAAATTGTGACAGTAGGTGCGGGGAGAAGATCAATGGGGTGGGGGTGCATGCTGAACATGTTACTGTATATGTTACACCCTAAATACGGGTGTAACATGTAATGTGCAGGAAGGTGAACTTAGCCTTTATCTGCTTCCTGACCACCCTATAGCAGAACTACTGCTACAGGGTGGCAGGGCTGCGCAAAATCACGTGTATATATACGTGATTTTGTATTTCCAGGTAGGGGGTCCGAGCCGGCATTGACAGCTACAGCTGTCAATCCCCTGCCAGCACCCGGCAATTGCCAACTATCACTGACAGGTCACAGGGGAGAGTTCTGTATGTAAACAATACAGATATCTCCCCTGTCAGCAACAGCATGCTGCTTTGTATTGCTCTACATAGCAGAGCAATACAAAACAGCATGCCTCCCTAGTAAAGCACACACACAGGACGCAGTAAAACAGCACCCCAGATGTTAACCCTTTCCTGCCCAGTGTCATTAGTACAGTGCTTTTTATTAGCACTGATCACTGTATTAGTGTCACTGGGGATATCAGTGACAGTTAGTCAGTTCCCCCCTAGAGTTAGAATGTCCTGCTATAAGTCTCTGATCGCCGTCATTACTAGTATGAAAAAAAAATGTCCAGTATATATACCGCCATTTGTAAACAGTATAACTTACACGTAAATCAAATAATTTATACGTATTGGGATTTTTCTTAGTAAAGACGTGTAGCAAAATACATTTTAGCCTAAATTTATGATGAAATTTGATTTTTTTTTAAAAAAATTTTACTGGATATGTTTAATAGGAAAAAGTAAAAATATTTTCAAAATTGTCTGTTTTTTTTTTGTTGTTTATAGCACAAAAAATAAAAAACACAGAGGCGATCAAATATCACCAAAAGAAAGCTCCATTTGTGGAAAAAAAAAAGGACATAAATTTCAGTTAGGTGCAGCATTGCATGACCGTGCAATTGTCAGTTAACCATCAGCCACCCGGCCTATAGCCGTTTGGCGGCCGCAAAAATGCTTCAGCTTTCCGGGTGCACACCATTTGGCGTGCTCCCGCACATGCGCAGTTCGTGCAGTTGCAGAGCCGCGCAGTGGCGCGATCTGTCACCAGCCGTGTACCTTGGACACCAATCACACCAATCACAGCAGATCACATGACAGTTGTATACAATGGATGGCTTCATTCATGGCATCCATTGTATACTAGTGCCTAGCTAGCTGTGAATGGTCACAGCAGGTCACATGCACATGTCATGTGATTAGCTGTGGCCAAATCACAGCAAAGCACAAAAAAAAAAAAAAAAAAAAACCCTGAATGAATAGATTTCATTCAGGTAAATGCTTGCTTATAGCAAAGTAATTCTTTGCTATAAGCAAATTGTGTAAAACACAAAAAAAAAAAATACTGATCTCTTCCCCAAAGTAGTACAATGTTACTATGGTAACATTGTACTACTTTGGTCATAGTAAAATATGAAAAAAAATCTTAAAAAAATAAAAAAAAATGTAATAAAAAATTAAAAAAATAATAAAAAAAAAAAATGATATATATATATATATATATATATATATTTTTTTTTTTTCATACTGTCACCAGTCAGTGTCCCTGTTCACCGCCATGCCAGTTATATGATGACGCTGTACTGCACTGGTGACAGTGTGTAAAAAAAAAAATAGTGAAAATAATTTTTTTAATTTTTTCATTTTCCGAAAAATTATGACAAAAAAAATACAACTTCAAAAAACTAACCATTCCTCTTATTAAGTACGTCCAACTGTCTGCTCTGCAAAAAGGGGTCATTTGGGGGATATCTGTACTATTCTGACATTCTTGGACCTCAAAAAATTAGATTGGCTGTCAGTACTTAAGGATTGATCAATTTTCAGATCTATACCATAGTTTGTGAACTCTATAACTTTCCTACAAGCTAATTAATACATCCTAATTTGGGTTATTTTCACCAAAGACATGTAGTAGAATACATCTCGGCCTAAATTTATGAAGAACAATTTATTTGTAAACTTTTATAACAGAAACAAAGAAAAACTTGTTTTTTTTTCAAAATTTTTGGTCTTTTTTTGTTAATTTAGCAAAAAATAAAAACCCCAGCGATTGATTAAATACCACCAAAAGAAAGCTCTAGTTGTGTGAAGAAAATGATAAAATTTTAGTTTGGGTACAATGTTGTATGACTGCGCAATTGTCATTCAAAGTGTGAGAGCGCTGAAACCTGAAAAATGGGCAGGAAGGTGTAAAATTGCCCGGTATTGAAATGGTTAAAGTAATACAGCACCGTGTCACAAAAAATGGTCTGGCCAGGAAGGGGGGTAAATCCTCTGGAGGGCAAGTGGTTAAATAGCTTTCAAGCCAACTTCCTATTATTAGCCAACATTATTACGAGCTATGCTGTGCCTTAATGTGCAGTGCATTAAGGCAGCCTATTAAAAACGAATAGGCTGCGAATGCATCCAAATGTGGTAAAAATCATGTATGACCCTTTTTTGCAGCGCAACTCCCCATACATGTCTTATGATGATGCAGAAGTGTAACTGGGCCCTCAATATTAAGCTTCTGTAATACTAGAATAACAGAAAACAGATTAATAATAATAAAACAAAATAAAAATGATCTTTGAATAAAATGCAGGATTTTTGATTATTTTCTAAACTGAAAATGTAGAGGTCAGCTGTATTAATCTTTCAATATGGCATGCGTCCTATAGCAATGTTTATATATTTACCTTTATATTTTACCAGAAAAGGTCCAGGCAGAGATAGAGAATGTCATAGGTCGAACCCGTAGGCCATGTATGGAGGATCGAACCAAGATGCCATATACTGATGCTGTAATGCATGAGGTTATGAGATTTTTTGACTTATCACCACTTGGAAGCCCTCATTCGGTGACGAAGGATACTGTCTTCAGAGGATATAATCTTCCCAAGGTACTCACAATCTCCCGACTAACCAAATATATTGTTGACTGTTCAGACAGTTCATCTTTCTTTCTGCCCTGTGCAGGGTACCATCATCTTCCCTATCCTGCACTCTGTGCTGCATGATGCCTCACTCTTTGAAAAGCCCCAGGAGTTTTATCCAGGACATTTTCTAGACCAGCAAGGATTGTTCAAGAAAAATGAAGCCTTCATGGCATTCTCTGCAGGTAAGATATTGTATAGAATCCTATGAGATGTGTAATGTCTTCTTTCATAGTAGCAGGACAAAGGGGTCATACACTTTCTTCATGTGTGATATAGTGGTAGAGCTTGTTGCACCCAGTGCAGCAACTTAGGGGATTTGTTTTGGGTCAGCAGGAGGTATGGCTTATTAACCACTTCCAGACCGGACACTTTTACCCCCTTCCTGACCAGGGCAATTTTGAGCTTTCAGCGCTATCACACTTTGAATGACAATTGCGCGGTCATGCTACACTGTACCCAAATGAATTTTTTACCATTTTTTTGAGACAGATAAAGCTTTATTTTGGTGGTATTTATTCACCGCTGGGATTTTTATTTTTTTTGCTATGTAAATGAAAAAGTCCAAAAATTTTGAAAAAAAAGTGTTTTTTTTTTATAAAAGTTTGCAAATAAATAATATTTCATCATAAATCTTTGCAAAATGTATTCAGTTATCTTTTTAGTAAAAAAAAAAATCCACATTAGTTTATAACCAAAAATTATAATTTTTAAACATTTTTTTTTACATTTTTATTTTATTTTTTTTATATTATTATTATTATTATTTTTTTTTTACATACTGTCACCCTAGCAGTACAGTGTCACCATGGTGACACTGTACTACTTGTGGGGGGTGATGAAGATTTTTTTTTTTTATTACACTGATTGCTTTTACACCCATATAGGATGTAAAAGCAATCATTTCTCTTTCTCTCTGTGTGCATTCTTGCGCTCATTGAGAAGTACTGAGTGAGCTGTGATTGGTCACAGCTTGTCACATGGTACAAGGCTGTTGTGAATAGGCTTGTACCATGTGACCTCTGTGATCATTCACAGATTTCACACGTAGTAAGCAATGATGTCACAAGTGACATCTTGCTTACTACTTTGCATGTGATCACTGATTGGCCAATCAGTGATCACATGATCGGGACCTCGTATAGAGGTCCCGTCCGACGATCGGTGTTTCACTGTGTCCGGAGGACACAGTGGGCACCGGATCGCGGGTGCTGCGCGCTCCCAGGGACACTTTCAAGTTTATCTACAACCAAAGTCTTTTCTTTAATTTTATTTTTGTATTGTTATTATTCATGACGAGCATTTACCAATTATCTACAGTGCTTTACGTTCACATAAGCCCTTCAAGGAGCTTACAATCTAAGGTCCTAATCTCCCATGCAAACATACATATACTAGAGCCAATATAAATAGGAGACATTTAACCTTTCAATATGTATTTGGAGTGAGGAAGAAAACTCACACAAGTAAGAGAATAACATGTAAACTCCATACAGGTGTCCTGGTTGGTATTTGAACTAAGAAACCTAGTGCTGCCCCATATGAAAGAAAAATATATTGGAAATATATTTTTTTTAAATATTCTTCCCAAATATATTGACATATATTTGAAATGCTACAATTTTGACCGTATTAAATATATTTAAAAAAAAAAAAAAATAAAAAAAAAAAAAAAAATATATATATATATATATACACACACACATGCTGTATTTGTAAATGCATTCCAAAGATTTGTATTTTTAAAGACATACAGTATATTTGAAATGTATTTTTTAAAAATATTTTTCATATAGTTTGTAATAAAAACGCATCTCAACATGATATATATATATATATATATATATATATATATATATATATAATTTTATTTTTTTTTAATATATTGAATATGGCCAATATTGTAGCAGTTCAAATATATGTCAATATATTTGGGAAGAATAATTTTAAAATATATTTCAAATATATATTTTTCTTCCATGTGGGGCAAGACATTATTGTAAATCTCTGAAATAAAAAATGTACAAAGCATATCCTTCTATAGTGTGTACTTGCGTCAATCCAGAGCACTGAATGTGCATTCTGTCTGCAGTCTGCCCCTGTTATCTTCATGAGTTATTGCTGATTCCAAGAGATCGAGGGGGATGAGTGAGGCACCCTCCAGCACACAGCCTGTGAATGACAGCCTCAACTGTGCATGTTTCCTTATGAGATTGTGTAGGGGGGGTGTCCATTCTCTCCAATCAGGTCTCATATTGCACTCACCTGTCCTCTCTGAGCTGTTGTCATGTACCTTGGTTGAAGGCCGAGTTAATGAGAGGGTTTCTCTTGCGTCAAGGTGAACCAGTGTCATACACAGTGAGCCAGCAGCATGGTCAGGAGGCAGGCTGGGGTCGGTACCAGGTTAGCAAGCAGAGTAAGGTCCAGTAGCAAGGAGATCAGGCAGAGAACAGTCAGAGGCAAGCCAAGGTCAGAATCCAGAATCCACAGAGCAAGGTCAGGAACAAGCCAGGTCAGCAACGGAAGATCAGTCAGTACAAACAGGAACACGGGTCACAGGAAGCTGAGAACATCTAGTGATTAGTACACAGCAGAGTCAACTTTAAAAAAGACAGCTTGGCACCAATGCAGGAAGATGTGTGTGCCGATGCACGATGGTGCATAGAAATGTCTGTGTGCTGATCAGGGGCGGACTGACCATTCGAGCACTCGGGCACTGCCCGAGGGCCTGTGGTCAGTAGGGGGCCCATGAGATGCCTCTGGTACCTTTCATTGGCTTTTTCATAGGCTTTTTTGGGTGTGGGCAAGGACACAGGGGCCCCATGATCCCATATTGCCCGGGGGCCCCATGAGTTGTCAGTACACCCCTGGTGCTGATATACATGCACAAGAATTAGCTGCATGGGAATTAGCATTAGAAAAAGAATTTGCATGAGCTGCAGAAGAATTAGCTGTACTAGTTTCTTGACAGCTGCGCAGTGTGTGACATCAGATCCTTGTCCCCTGCTTCCAGAAACTGGTTGAACCATGATGTTACTGCCCCTCAACCACCCACCTAAAATCTAAAATAGGGTGCTGTTTATATACAAATTTGTGCAGCATGTTGAGGATATATGGCACCTTCTGTCAAACTTGGCTATTCAAGTCAATGGGGATGAGACACAACTGAGAGCCAAACATTTGGCTTGTGGTTTCATAGCATTATCCCAATGTAGCGCTATCCCCTAAGGAGCCACTTTTATTTTTGTCCAGGTCTCCCCATTCTTCGCCCCGCAGCCAGGCACAAAGTGCTTTCCACAACCAGGTGCACACATTCTTCCACTCATTGTCTCCAATCACCAGTCTAGGGGATGTTTCTTTTTGGAGCTTTATTGTAGAATTAGGGATGGGGATTCTAGTAGGATACTCCAAAATTAAAACTTTTCACATCAAGGTCATCTGACTGATCTCTTAGCTAAGTACTGTTGAAGTCCTTGCTGAGGGCAGATAGAAGACTTCTCTTTAGAATACAGAAACAAGTAGTTTAGAATTGAGCAAAGTCCCTTGCAGTAACAATGGTCAGACAAGCTCTTCAGAACACTAGCCATTGCTCCCTTTTCTCAGACCCACACTGACTACCAATAACCATAGGGGTAGCCAAGCATACAGAGTCCCCAAGATCTCTGTGTCTGTACTCACAGGTCCAAGGACAGAATGGAAGCCCCCTTCCAATCTTCCAAGCGAAACCCTCCAGTGATACCAGACAGATCTTTTGCCCACCTGAGGCCGCATGGCCGCAAGTGTCAGGCGAGGCAAGCTTGCCTCCAGCTTGGCTTGATGCAATCCTCTCCAGGGAAAGACACTGAACCCATGTGCTCATAGAACATAAAAACCACTCCCAGCATGCAATGGGACCTCCCCTGTAGTTGGTCAGGTCTGTATCCATATTCATGCTGGGATTTTTTTTGCTTCCTAAGTTTTGGAAGGCTCTCATAGCTTCCTGAAGGCAAGTGGAGCTCAAGACAAGCTTAAACCGCATCAGAGCATCATGAGCAGACCCAACTAATCAATTGCAGCACTCTGTTAAGCAGAATACCACTGTCAGTGAATGGGAAGATCGCTGCGGCGATCGAATCCGCACATGCGTAGAGTCCTGACAAAACGTACGGGCACTAGGACCCAGGCGTGCCTGTCACCAATGATGGCGCCGGGCAAGCACTAGGACCCAGGAGCGCCTGTCAGGAGTCGGGCGGGCTATTTAAACCCAGCTCTTGCAATGCTCAAGTGCCGTATGGTCTTTCCTGTGTTCCTGTGAGTTTACTTTGCTACTGACCCTGCCTGATCCTGATCTGATCTAACTAGGAGGATGCTACACCAATAAAAAAAAACAGGTATTCAGGAGTTGGCAGGATCAGCTCCTGAATGCCTGACAGCCACTGCTTAGCCACACACTGAAAATGTGTTTTTGTGTTCTTTTTACAGATCAATGTCCCTAGGCCTGGACATTACTAGACACATGCCTCAGACCTCCTTTCAGGTTCCTCAAGTCTACTTCTGTAACTCACATCCATTAATTGCAGGCCAAGCCTCAGAACCAACAAGAAAGTGGGGCCATGTGTAAATATATACAGGGATGTATTTAGTTATCATTACCATCACCACCACTTAGTCACATGTAAACTAAGCAAACCTTTTAAATGAAGAGCATTTATATGTATCTTTCCGGTGGCCAAAGTCAGCAAACCCTACTACCTTGCTGGTTTCCAGCTGCTGTAGTTGTTTCACACTTCTGGATGTGTTGAATAACTGCACCCTCCCACCACATACTGTGGTTTCTCCCAACCATTGGATCGTACACCCTGTATGGAATACCTGCTGAAGCCAGAGATCATCAAAGCACTGGAGTTTGAACACATGGGCCACTGGAAAGGTAGGTATAGATCAGGGGTTTCCAAACTTTCTAAGAAAAGGGCCAGTTTACTTTCCTTCAGGCTTTAAGGAGGTGCAGACAGTGGCCTTGGGAGTAGAAAATTTCCCAGCAGCAGTGAGCATAAACAATGCCCTTTCATTGGTTTTAATGGAAGGAAGAAGGCCTCATTGTTGGTATCAATGGGAAGAATAGTGCCATCCATGGTGTCAGTTGGAGGAATGGTAACCCATCATTGGTGTCATTTGGTGGAAAAGTGGAAAAGGACCACATCTGGCCCCTAGGCCAGTTTGGAGACCACTGGT